GCTGAAAGGGGTTGGTGGGTGACCGGCAGATGAGCCAGCTGATCGTGGCAGCTGAGATCGGTTGTACGGGGAAGTGAGGTCACGAGAGAAATCCACGGAGCTCTTAAACATCAGCAGGGTGCGGACCAACCACTCGCAATACGTTCCACCGTGGAACGTCATAGAATTTCGATGGGCACACCACATCCAGTATTCCTCCTCTCGCCGTGGCTGCGGCTACCACTAAGTCACGTGCAGCGAATGTTCCGTAGGGAAAAGTGAAGCCCCGCGTGCTGGCACCATTTGATTGGCCGCTCTCGCTCCCAGGCACGGCTCGTGAAAGCGCTGATCGCTCCGCTTTTCGCAGCGGCCTTCATGGGTTTGGTAACTCGCGGCAAGGCGAGCCGGGGCTGGTGGTGAGACGGCTCCGTGCTCCGTGCCACTTGGTGACGGGGAGACGGTTGGTTTTGGCGGAGCCCTCATCGTGAGCAGTCGTTGAGAGAGAGCATCGGCAGAACGCATCACATCCGACGCTGCTGCCGTCGGCAGGGAAGGTGGAGACAATTTTATTTTTAAAAAAACACCCAAGGAAATTCTACTTTCATTTTTTTTATTTGGACAAATTAAATTTTGCGGGTACGGCGTAGAATAATAAGCTAATGTCATTACGAGCAGCTGAGCCAAGAGTGCGGGGCGGACCTCCCTGGAAGATGGAGAGAGCGGGGCGCGGCCCCGCATCACAGTAATGGAGCTCTTGGCTCCGCACCAAATGGTGGAGAGGAGGGTATGGCGCGTTCGAGAGTTGTCTGAAACTCCCCCCCCCCTCGTCCTCCTCTGCTTCCACGCCCGTGGCCCCTCCTCGTCCCCGTGCGTCCCCTCTCCTCCACGCCCCCCTCCTCCACGCCCCCCACCCCCCACCGTGTCGCGTCGTTCTCTCGCCGCCGCGCGGTTCCTAGGCAGCTCGGTGGCTGCTGTCGGTGAGCCCCCCCCCCCCGGCGCTGTTTGCCGGTCGCCAGGGACCCGGTCGTGGCGGCGGTGGTGGCGGTGGTGGCGATGGTGTCGCTCTCGTGATTACGCTCGCCCGACTTGACGCACACGGTTTCGGAACGCGTGGCCCCGTCGCATAGAACGCGGCCCCAGCGGACGAACTCGCGAACGGCGAGCGCCTGGAACCCCGGCGCGAGAGGCCTTCACGTTCATCTCGATCCTCCCCTTGGTTTGCGATCTCCCTTCTCTCGCACGTGTGGCTAACGGCCCCAGTGTGGCTGGGCGCTCCGTCGACGATGAAGCGCTTCACCTCCTGCTGGGGTCATCCCGGCGGCACGTAACCAACAATGTTGTTCTCCTCCCATGCGTTTGCCACTCGGTATCTGCAGCGTTATGATTTCGACGCCGTTGTCACTTCCTTTTTCTTTCCTGTAAAACGGCTTCAGGCCGACTGCTTCTTCACCGCGTCTCCACCTAAATACACAGAGCGTGACGATGAGATGGCAGTGCACGTCGGAGATGGTTTTTTGCGCGACATTACACATCACCCTGCCTCCCTCACACACACGGGGACTCACTCACACACACACATATGGGCTCGCTCACACACACCCGTGGGCTGGCTCACTCACTCACACACACACACGTGGGCCCGCACACACACAGACACACACGTGGACTCACACACATAGACACACACGTGGACTCACTCGCTCACACACACGCGTGGGCTGGCTCACTCACACACACACACACGTGGGCTGGCTCACTCACACACACACACGTGGACTCACTCACACACACACACACGCGTGGGCTGGCTCACTCACACACACGCGTGGGCTGGCTCACTCACACACACACGTGGGCTGGCTCACTCACACACACACACACGTGGACTCACTCACACACACACACGTGGGCTGGCTCACACACACACACAGACACACACGTGGGTACGTGGGCACACTCACACACACGTGGGCTCACACACACACACACACACGTGGGCTCACACACACACACGTGGGCTGGCTCACTCACACACACACGTGGACTCACACACACGCGTGGGCTGGCTCACTTACTCACACACACGTGGACTCACACACACACACACGTGGGCACGTGGGCTCACTCACACATACACGTGGGCACGTGGGCTCACTCACAAACACACACACGTGGGCACGTGGGCTCACTCACACACACACACACGTGGGCTGGCTCACTCACACACACACGTGGGCTCGCACACACAGACACACGTGGACTCACTCACACACACACACGTGGGCTGGCTCACACACACACACAGACACACACGTGGGCACGTGGGCACACTCACACACACGTGGGCTCACACACACACACACGTGGGCTCACACACACACACACACGTGGGCACGTGGGCTCACTCACAAACACACACACACGTGGGCTGGCTCACTCACACACACACATGTGGGCTGGCTCACTCACACACACACGTGGGCTCGCACACACAGACACACACGTGGGCACGTGGGCTCACTCACACACGCCCTGCCTCCCTCGCTAAAAACCCAACACGTTCGTCAATAACACGACTCGAAAGGGAAGATAACAAGTGGAGAGAGAGAGAGGGAGTAATCCGTGACATTTTGGGTAATGGCCCGGTGTCGTGGCTGAGAGACACCCACAACCCCTCTCTGTGTCTCTGTGTCTCGTTCTGTCTCCGTCTGAGCCCTGACTCCTCCTTCGGTGGCTCGATCTCCACGATTGCTGTCTCTGTCTCACTGTGTCTCTGTCTCACTGTGTCTCTGTCTCACTGTGTCTCTGTCTCACTGTGTCTCTGTCTCACTGTGTCTCTGTCTCACTGTGTCTCTGTCTCACTGTTTCTCTGTCTCACTGTGTCTCTGTCTCACTGTGTCTCTGTCTCACTGTGTCTCTGTCTCACTGTGTCTCTGTCTCACTGTGTCTCTGTCTCACTGTGTCTCTGTCTCACTGTGTCTCTGTCTCACTGTGTCTCTGTCTCACTGTGTCTCTGTCTCACTGTGTCTCTGTCTCACTGTGTCTCTGTCTCACTGTGTCTCTGTCTCACTGTGTCTCTGTCTCACTGTGTCTCTGTCTCACTGTGTCTCTGTCTCACTGTGTCTCTGTCTCACTGTGTCTCTGTCTCACTGTTTCTCTGTCTCACTGTGTCTCTGTCTCACTGTGTCTCTGTCTCACTGTGTCTCTGTCTCACTGTGTCTCTGTCTCACTGTTTCTCTGTCTCACTGTGTCTCTGTCTCACTGTGTCTCTGTCTCACTGTGTCTCTGTCTCACTGTGTCTCTGTCTCACTGTGTCTCTGTCTCACTGTGTCTCTGTCTCACTGTGTCTCTGTCTCACTGTGTCTCTGTCTCACTGTTTCTCTGTCTCACTGTGTCTCTGTCTCACTGTGTCTCTGTCTCACTGTGTCTCTGTCTCACTGTGTCTCTGTCTCACTGTTTCTCTGTCTCACTGTGTCTCTGTCTCACTGTGTCTCTGTCTCACTGTGTCTCTGTCTCACTGTGTCTCTGTCTCACTGTGTCTCTGTCTCACTGTGTCTCTGTCTCACTGTGTCTCTGTCTCACTGTGTCTCTGCCTCACTGTGTGTCTGTCTCCCTGTGTCTCTGTCTCCCTGTGTCTCTGCCTCACTGTGTCTCTGCCTCACTGTGTCTCTGTCTCACTGTGTCTCTGTCTCACTGTGTCTCTGTCTCACTGTTTCTCTGTCTCACTGTGTCTCTGTCTCACTGTGTCTCTGTCTCACTGTGTCTCTGTCTCACTGTGTCTCTGTCTCACTGTGTTTCTGCCTCACTGTGTCTCTGTCTCACTGTGTCTTTGCCTCACTGTGTCTCTGCCTCACTGTGTCTCTGTCTCACTGTGTCTCTGTCTCACTGTGTCTCTGTCTCACTGTTTCTCTGTCTCACTGTGTCTCTGTCTCACTGTTTCTCTGTCTCACTGTGTCTCTGTCTCACTGTGTCTCTGTCTCACTGTTTCTCTGTCTCACTGTGTCTCTGTCTCACTGTGTCTCTGTCTCACTGTGTCTCTGTCTCACTGTGTCTCTGTCTCACTCTGTCTCTGTTTCGGTGTCTCTGTCTGTCTCACTGTGTCTCTGCCTCACTGTTTCTCTGTCTCACTGTGTCTCTGTCTCACTGTGTCTCTGTCTCACTGTGTCTGTCTCCCTGTGTCTCTGTCTCCCTGTGTCTCAGTCTGACTGTTTCTCTGTCTCACTGTGTCTCTGTCTCACTGTGTCTCTGTCTCACTGTGTCTCTGTCTCACTGTGTCTCTGTCTCACTGTGTCTCTGTCTCACTGTTTCTCTGTCTCACAGTCTCACTCTGTCTCTGTTTCGGTGTCTCTGTCTGTCTCACTGTGTCTCTGCCTCACTGTTTCTCTGTCTCACTGTGTCTCTGTCTCCCTGTGTCTCCATCCCCCTGCGTCTCTCCGACTATTCACCATCTCCACCTGCTCTCCGTCTCTCTGTTTGACTGCTGCTCTCTCTGCGGCTCCTACTCTGCCCACACTACTTCCTCTCTCTCGCTTCCAACTTCCCTCTCTGTCTCCCGCAATGCTTTTCCTTTCTCCGCTGTCACCCTCATCACTGAAGTCTTTCCATCTCCCCAAATTCCCTTTCTACTTTGCACTATATCCACATTCTCTGCGCGTCTCCTGCCTGTCCCCCTGTCGCTGTCTCCCTGCCTGAGCTTCTCTCCTGGTGGGTGTGTCCCTCTGTCTGCCTGCCCGTCTCTCTCCGTCTGCCCCCTCCCTCTTCTCTCTCCTTGGCGACCCCCCCCCCCCACGCTCATCCCACGCACTCTTTGGCGCTGCGCCCCCTGCAGGAAGGGCCCCGCGACGGCGTGGTGGCAAACAATGCCAACGACGTCATCATCAAGCAGATCGCCCATTGGCCGACTTGCCACATCTCAGGCCTGTGGTGGCAGCTTGCAGGGAGGCCTTCATCTAGCAGTGGATTGACCGTGGCTGCTGCGGCTGCTGGTGCTGATGATGATGGCGTTGTGTTTTCCGCCGCAGGGTGAGGGCGAGCTGGAGAAGGGGATGGAGATGAGGAAGTGGGTTCTCTCCGGGATCCTGGCGAGCGAGGAGACCTACCTGTCTCACCTGGAGGCCCTGCTGCTGGTACGTGCCAGCTCGACCCGCTGCTCGACTCGCGATGCATGTGTGGGGAAACGTCCAGGACGTTTGAGCAAAGACCCAAGTCGGGGGACTCGCTTTCCCTCTCGCCTTAAACAACATAACGAATTTAATTTACGAATCTCGGGGTGCTGTACCCTTGACCCCTGGTTCCCCCGTGACCTCTGAGTCCCCCCCGATGATCCCCGAGTCTCTCCAAGCCCCCCCGATGACCCCCCTGGTTCCCCCCCCACAGCCGATGCGGCCGCTGAAGGCGGCGGCGACGACGTCCCAGCCGGTGCTCACGACGCAGCAGATCGACACGATCTTCTTCCGCGTGGCGGAGCTCTACCAGGTGCACCGCGAGTTCTACCAAGCGCTGCTGCCACGCGTGCAGCAGTGGAGCCATGCGCAGCGCGTCGGGGACCTCTTCCAGAAGCTCGTGAGTGCGAAGCGCGCACACACGCACGCGACTCCGCGCACGCATGCACCCACGTGCTGCAAACAAGTACAAAGATCCCCCGTGTAGCCTTAACAGACTATATGGGCAAGTGCTGTTAGAGAGCACCTATAAAGGCCGGCACGGCACACGAGGGGGTGAGTGGCCAACACCCGGCCGCCTTTGTATCCCTAGTGGCGATGCTTACACATCGCACCAGGTACTCATTTGAGCCTGAGTCGACCTAGGGGAGGCTGAGGACCGGATTAGATCATCGTCACCGGTGTCGACCGTGAGCGGGAATCGAACCCATGTCGCCAGGTTCGTAGCGCAGTGCGCTTACCGCTACACCACCGCTCCGTACTGCTGCACCACAAGCACGTGTGGGTCCGCGTGCTGCAACACGCATATCCACACGCGCTTGTGTACCCGCTCGCTGCTGCACTGCATGCGTAGTTGCATACGTGCCCCTGTCACCGCTGCACTTTGCGCACACGTACACACACGTACAGCTCTGCTTACTCACGACAGGGATGGAACTGTACCGACGTTTGGCACCGCGATCACCACATTGAACTTCATCGCAGTTGACTGCACAGCGTTGACAATCGACGTGGGCCAGAGTGAGAATGTTTGGGTTGAGGGAAACGATGGTCACCCCGACTTTGACCCTCATCCAACCTGGGCCCAGGCCTCTCCCGGTGCAGCGCATCAACGTCAGCACTGGGAGACAAAGGTGGCGGCCCGCTGGGGTGCTGGCCACACCACCTCCTGCACCGAGCCGGCCTTCATGGGCGCTCGCTAACAGGACGCGACCCAGTAGTCCGTTAAGGCTCTAGGGGGATCTTTGTCTTCATTTGTGTATGAAGAGGCCTGGGTGGGGGTTACGGTATGTGTGTACATGTATGTGCGTGTGTGTGTGGAGAGCCTTGTGTGGGAGAGCTCTCCTATTGGAATGTGCGCTGTGATTAGGCCTCTTGTTGTGATGGTATTTCACTCTCGGGAAAGGTTAATGCGCGCGGAAGTTGTCACTCCGCTCGGGATGAGTGCGCGAGGCATTGCGAAGGCTGCTGGTGAGGGCACGCGTGCTGTCGCCTGTGCGATGGAGGGCGCACCTCGGCGTTTCGTGCCTTTGTCTGTTTGAAGTACACGAACCCGGTGACCTGGGTTAGATTCCCAGCCATGTAGGGTGATGTGTTTGTGTATGGTGAGATTAATGCATCGTATGTATGTGCGTAGGGAGCCTCAGCGCAGTGGTTAGCGTGTGGCACACAGTTCCCGAACCGTGGCTAACATCGGTGGCCAGAACCACGTCCAGGCAGCTAGACGTGGTTCTGGCCACACCAACTCCTCGTGCTCCATGCCAGCCTTAATAGGAGCTCGCTTACGGCCCTTGTCCCGATCAGTCTGTACGGCCACGCGGGGGACCTTTGTCTCAAACCGTTGTCCAAATATTTTCTCTGCCGTCATTGTCGGTGATGCCCCTGGCGATTCGGTAATTACCAGAAGTGCCGGGCGTCGTAATAACTCTGCGGTGCGGGCGGCATCCGTCGGCCGGGTGCCCCCCCCGGCCCCTCCCCCCTCTCTCACGGCTGACCTTTGACCCTGAGCGGTGCCTTTGTTTGTCAGAGTTGAGCGAAGATCTGCGAAGGCCGCGGCGGCCCAGGAAGTCTGTGGGACGAAGCGACGCCGTGACCATAAAAGAAGGAAAAATGCCCAGGGGGGAAACGTTTCGGGCACTGGCCCTTCTTCTCCGTAGCAGAGGGGCTGTGATGATTGCCACCGGTACATGACTCGTGTGGACGATAGATATTTCATACGGAGAAGGGGGCCTTGCCTGAAACGTCGAATATGACTTTGTTCCCTCGTAATAGGGCAGCGTTATTGACCAATGTCCGTGCTTTGTGCGCCACTACCAACACAGCAGCAGCATCACAATTTATCTTGTTTACTGGTGACGTACACCGTGGACGTTATGGTGATGTAGGTGTTTACTTTCGGCCAAATCCCAACTCGTACGCCGTGTTTAGTTTTCTGCGTTTCCTCCGCGCGGCGCACGGCCGCCTCTTGCCGTTGTCTTCGTGGCGCAGGTGTGAGCGGGGGGTGGGGGGGGGGCTCTGGAATTTAAACGTCCTCCTTGGAAGGGGGTGGGGGGGGGGGGCCCTGTGGACACGGGATGAGGTTGATTCTTTTTTCTTCCATAAAACTGTCGAGGATGTGGTGGGTGGGGGGGGTGAATAACGGGCGGCCGTGCCGCGGCCTCCTCGTAAAACCACCGGCAGAAAGCGGCGGCCATTTCCACTTTTATTATTTTTAATGCGCCGCTTTATCTTAAGGCCCGGCCAAACGCCCCCCCCCTCCCCCCGCTGGGAGCCCCCCAACATAACTTTACTGACACCCCCTCGAGAGGCGGAGTGGAATGAGAGAGCAACAGAATGCGGCGAGGCCATAGTGTCACCGATTTCCAATTTCGCGAAAATACGGACAAGAGGTGAATATTAACAACACAAAGGTGTGCTGCTCACCGAGCAGGAGGTCGAGGCATTGGCTCCCAGCATGCCGTGCGTGCACGTCCTGTGACAATGCTGCCGGCGCTGCCGAGACAGAGATCACGCATTAAATAGAGCGGTGCGCTAGGGTCACGGATTTCCTGGCATTTTGGTGTTTGAGATGATGGCATAAAATCAAGCGGGCTATTTAAAGCATTGTCGAAACAGAGCGAGGGGACCCAACTGAAAGATGTAGCTGTCCATACTAATTACGTATCAGTGGCAAACTTAATTGGTGATGTCTGTGAGGCCTGCCAGGCATCACCTATTTATTACCAGAAGTGGCTCCCTGTCACTCTGCGAGGCTGCAACCTGAGGTAAATAAAATTGGACGTATGATTGGAAGAGCTAGAATCCGTCACGATAGGGGAAGAGGGGAGAGCTGTACATGCGTCGACTTGAGTGGTGTAATATTATTATTGTTGCTACGCAGCTGACCAACACCAGGAAGACCGACAAATTCCCCGGGACAGCGACTGCCTCGAAAGAAGGCCCATCCTGGGGAACAACCGGGACAGGCGGCAACTTTCCTCGCCGGGCGAGGCCTGCCTGCAGGTCCCCAAATACAACACGGCTCCCTGCCGCCCCACCTCGCCCTGTCACCGACACCGTGGGCAGTGTTCCTCGTCGCCCACTTGGTCGTGAACGGCGGCGCTTGGCGCCGGCGCTCAAGCGGGATTTATATATCAATTTATTTATTTATTTTCACCGAGCGGCGCTTCTCAAGCCACTCGTGCAGCCCGCCGCCTCCAGCGAGGCTCCCCCCCCCCCCCCCACCGGCGCCGGGAGCGCCGCTTAGAGTAAGCGCCACGAGGTGGTGCGAGATAAACGCCTTGTTACGGTTAGACATCTCCGCCCGCCGACAGCCGGCAGGGTGGGGGGGGGCGGGGGGCTTGGCTCTCCAAGCCGCCGGCCCATGTGCCGGGCCCTGCGCCACGAGTAGCCGTGCCATGCTTGTGGGCAAACGAGGGTGCCATGTCTGGCAAAACCGCGGAGACGCTGGCACGGTTGGTGGTTTCATTTAGAATTGTGTCCGTGTTGATGGCATAGGGCCGAGTCCTGCTGGGTCACAGGAACTCGACCCGCGCCGTCTTCAAGTTGAGAGTTCACATCCTGGTTGATGGCCACTTCTGGGCACTCGCTCTCCCGCCGCTACTGCCTGTGGTCACTGCTCCCGTGAGCCTCACTCCCTGATTCCCCCACCCATGTTGAGGACTCGAGACTCACTCATCCACACTCCTGCGCAGCCAAACACCACCACCAACACCACACTGCAGGCCGCAACAACCCATTCACCCACTCACTCATACACCCACAAAGACAAAGATTCCCCGAATAGCCTTCAACAGACTGTTGGGGCAAGTGCTGTTATATCGAGTAGTTGCACCTATGAAGGCCAGCACGGCACACGAGGGGGTGAGTGACCAACACCACACCAGACCCACTCGCCCACTCACTCGCCACACTGCTGCTCACCTCACTTCTCTTCCTGTTTCTTCCCTGGCACCGCTTCACTGTGGAATTCCCTCTCCCGTCATTATCATCGTTTCTTTTCCCAAGTTCTTAAGATAACCTCGCTCAATTCAACAAACACTAAATTTTATTGATTATACCTTCAACAGTGCAGTTTGTTGCTGGCTGCTTGGCGTTTTTGCCCTTGGGGCTCTGCTTGGCAACCACATTCCGGTTATCTCATTCGGAGGTCTTCGGGAGACATTGGAGGACGGGTGAAAATGTAAACTGCTATGAAAAAGATAAGCAGGATAAAAAATATCACCGTCAGCCAAGTTCCATCCACTGCTAGACGAAGGCCACCCCCACATCAACACAGTTCCTCGCGGCCCCACCGTGCCCACCGCCCATCACCTCGCTCCCACGTATAAGCGGCTGCAGCATCGACGGTCCCCGGCTTTTCCTTCTCTATTCGGCTAGGAACTATTTGTACCAACGCTCGCAAAATGTTTCCGTGGGTGAAGTGGCGATGTTGGGCTGTGGTGGCACAGAGGCGTGAAGGTTCCTCCGTGGGCCGCAGGGACCTCCTAGGGGGCCCCTCGGGGGGACCTCCCGCCGCCTCCCGCCCCCTCCTCGATGGGCTGGGGGAGCGGCGGAGGTCTCTCCACCTCCGGTTGGGTCTCGTGTTCTCGCCGCTACGCCACGCCGCCACAAACCTCGGCTGCGGCTCCCCGTGACCTCGTCTGTCACCGTACGTGTGCCGCGTCGTGGTCAGCGCGCTGCGCCACAAACCCCACGACCCGAGTTCAATTCCCGCTCGTGGCCAACATCCGTGGCGAATACCTGAATGGTCCTAGGCCTCCCCTAGGTCGATTAATCCTGAGTGTCTGGTGCGGTGTGTAAACATCAGCACCGGAGAGACAAAGGCAGCCGCGCGTGGTGCTGGGCCCACCACCTCCAGAGCTGCCCACGCACAGTAGCAGTGCAGTCTGGGACTGGCTTGGACCTATATTTTATTTGCGTGAACATCCCACATCTCTGCACAGATTATCCCAATGGCTCCACAATTCTCAGAGTGGAGCTTAAAAAAATAAACCATACAGCTCAAATGTTCACAACAGCTGTAATTGTTTTTTTTTATTCCAAATGGGACATCCCCGGTGTAACTGGACCAGAACCGCAGTGCGACCCCACCGCATATCCCGCAAGTCCCCCCCCCCCTCCCCCGGCAGTAAACGCAGTGAGCAGCGTACCACGCGGTGCTGTTGCACGCAGGCTCCGGATTGGTGCATGGCTCCGCTCACAATCCCCCCCCCACTCCTGCTCCCATCGACCGCCTGCGCTAATTGCTCGTGGTAATTGGGAGCACGGCGGAGGGAGCTGGCCGACGCCGGAGTGCACGGCGGCGCCGCGGCCCTCGCCGCTCACATCGAGCGCGACCGCACCGTGCTCACGCCGGTGCCGTTACAGCCACCACCGCCGTCAGCATCGCCACCACCACCACCGTCATCGCCACCACCACCACCACTATTGCCATTAACGTCACCACCATGCCACAGCTACCACCACCACCGCCGTCAGCATCGCCACCACCACCACCACCACTGTCACCGCCACCACCACCACCACCATTATTGCCATTAACGTCACCACCATGCCACCGCTACCGCCACCACCGCCGTCACTACCGCGGTGGCCACCTTCTACGTCGTCACCGCCCCCGCCGACCGCATCTCCGTGTCCCCCTCACTCCCGCAGCAAAAGGGCCTTTGTCGGTCGAACTGCGAGCTGCATTTGTCGTTTCCCTCGTCGTTCGGTTCTTCCCTCCCCTGCCACCTTCTTTCCCCCCCCCTCCTCCCCATCCCCCCCCTCCCCTCTCCTCCTCCCCCCCCAATGCCGATGGAAACATCGGCATTGGGGAGACAAAGGCGTCCGGGTGTGGTAGACCACCCACGCTTATTTGTATGATGTGTTTGTGTGGAGAGCTGGAGCGTCGTGGTGCATGAGCTCCCTTCGCTACAATCCCGACACCACCCGAGTTCGATTCCCGGCCGCGACCTGCCAGGTTGTTTTGGTAACTAGCGCCCAATGGTGCCGGCGATGCCGGTGGTGGCGGCGGTGCCGGCGGTGGCCGCAGAGGAGCGGTGCGACGTGACGGGGCGGCTACAGTGAAACTGGGAGCAGAGGGCACTGGGAGGGCGTGGGCGGGTAGGGGGTGGGGGGTGGGGGGTGTAGGGGGTGGGGGTTGGGGGGTGTAGGGGGTGGGGGTGGGGTGTAGGTGGTGGGGGGTGGGGGGTGTATCCGGGGTGACCTCCGACCCGCTAGCAGCACACAAAGGAGCGTGGGGACCGCGTGCGGAGCCTCTCATCGATTGGGCCGCCGCCTCCCTCGGCTCTATTTTCTTGGCGCGTCTCCTCGTCACGCCACCCCTCCTCTGCAACCGCACCTCCTTGAACTCTTTCCCTCGGCGCGTTCCCCGACGAGGCTCGCGCCGGGCCCCGCCGCGTCCTTGTCCCCTGGGCGCTCGCGCGTGGAGAATCGAGCCCCGTCCGGTTGCCGCGGCGACGGCGCGCCGGAATATATAATTATTAAATCCCCCCGCTCCGCGACCGTTTCCCCTTAACGCGTATTTACACGTCCACCTTGGCGGACGTGCGACGGAGTGAGGGGGGGGGGGGTTATTTCTGCGGGCCGTGTCTCGGATCTCGCGTCGTGATCGCTACCACGACGACGATGCGGTGCGACTCTATCGGGCGGTGTCGCCGGCCCCGCCGCTCCCGATCGCTCATTCTCACCGTGCGCGTGTAACCCTCCGCCGCCCGCCCGCCCGCCCGTTCCCCCGGCGCTGCCTCTTTGTCTCTTCTCCGCCGGCTCGGATTTCTCTCCCTCTGCCGTTCAGTCGTCCCGCGTCGTTTGCTCCGCGCCGCTTTCTCATCCCGCGCAATTCGCTCCGCCCTACTCGACGTCGCGCTGTCATCAAATAACACCGCGCTTGATCTTTTTTTTATTTGCCACGTCTGCACGCGTGCGTGTGCCTTTGTGTGGGAAAATTTGAATGTAGCTGCTGCCTGTGTTGGAGTTCCCGCCGTGCGTGCGGTGGTTGTCGTCTTCGTTAGTTTTTATAATTTTGCGATTTCCCGCGACTCCCGCGACCCGGCCGGCGAGGCCCCGATGAGCATTTCCTGCGGCCTGTTCGCCAACGGCCTCTTCTGCGGCGTGCACGTGCAGGCCAGCCAGCTGGGCGTGTACCGCGCCTTCATCGACAACTACAAGGCCGCCGTGGAGACCGCCGAGAGATGCTGCCAGGCCAACGCGCAGTTCGCCGAGATCTCCGAGGTCAGTGGCCATCGCCGTCGGGGTGGGGGGGGGGGGGGCGGGCCGGGCGCGACTGCTCTGGCACACGGAGGGGGGCTGGAGGGGTGCGATGATTGCAGGAAATTTGACAGGGAGGAGGGGGGCTCCGTCTGTTCCGTACACCGGTGCCCTTGCCACATCCACGCTGCTCGCGGTGGTGACGGTGGAGAGGTCACGGCGGCAGGGTCAGCAGTGGCTCCGTGGTGGGGGGGGGGGGGCGATATGGAGGAGGAGACACGGGCGAGGTTACGGGTGGCACGCGAGAGACACGGGAAACACAGCGGTAGACGGGGCGAGACGAGGGGAGACATGGGGGAGAAACACAGTGGGGGAGACGGCGGGAGACACGGAAAGCAGACGGGGGAGAGACATCGTGGGAGACAGAGGGGTAGGAGGAAGAGAGATGAGGGGATGCGCACAAAAGAAGCGCCGGGAGCCCGGGGACGAGGAGGAGTGACGCTCGCGAGAAAGCCAAATTAAGAAAACGAATTCGTGGGCGGAAAATGCCGGTCCAGACAGTGCACGCGAGGACAGGGAGCGGGCGGGGAGGAGGAGCAGCGGAGGACAAGGGCAGCGTCGCACGGCCGGCCGCTCGCTCAGCGCCGTGACGGCGGTAGCGGCCGTCACGGTTCTTCGGTTTTTCTTTTTAATTCACGCGCAGAGGTCACCCGCACAGAGGTCACCGTCCCTCCCGTCGATGACGCGGAGGAGGAGGAATCCATGTTTTCTTTTAATTTCCCTCCTCCCGCCGGACAAATTTTAATTCCGAAAATATTCCTGTAATGAACCTGGTGGCAGATGCAACACCGTGGGTAAACGAGCGAGTGTCACTGAGATCGATGCGGTTTTGTTGAGGAAACAACGTATGGGTGGCGGTGACGGCGTTGAACGTCCTTGCCCCGTATCTGTCCTGCCGCTGAGTGCCGTGTAATCGGCAGCGTTTGGTACGTGCAGCGGGGGGTCTAATTTGCGGCCTGCGGCTATAAGTCGCGAGCGACGTGCCGGGTTCCAGCAACCCAGGTGAAGTCGGCGGCTCGGAGAACGATTCATCGTCGTGCGAGGTGTCTCTGCTGCCGGCTGTTTGCTCCTGTGGCAACGTCAGTTCGATTCTTGGCCCACGGCTAACGCCAGTGGCGAGTGATGTCCCGAACCTGGCCTGGGCTGCCACCCCTGCCCCCCCACCCCACCCACCTTTCACTGATTCGCGCTGACTAGCGTGGTGAAGTACGGCGCTCACGAACACGCATCGCTGGGATCTCTTGTGCCACCTCAGAATCTCAGGGTCCGAAGCTCCAAAGAATCCAAGGACCACGCGAGCAAACACACGCTGGAAGGTACGGACACCGGAACACAGCAACGCGCTCTTGCACAGCCCTGCATTCAGCGCTCGTGTGCGCATGTGTGTGTGTGTGTGCGCGTGTCTGTGTGTGTGTGCGCATGTCTGTGTAGCAGTGGTCTAGCGGTTAGCGCTACGCTGCGCTACGAACCTGGTGGCCCGGTTTCGATTCCCGATCACGGTCGACACCAGTGACAGTTATCTAATCCGTTCCTGGGCTTCCCCTAGGTCGACTCAGCCTCAAATGAGTACTTGGTGTGATGTGTAAACATCGCCACTAGGGAGACAAAGGCGGCCGGGCGTGGTGTTGGCCAGCCACCTCCTCAAGTGCTCGCTAACAGCACTTGCCCTAACATTCGACTGCAGGCTATACGGCGGGATCTTTGTTGTCTGTGTTTGTGTGTCCACGTGCGTGTGGGGAGCTGTGGAGCAGCGGTTAACCACACTGCGCCATTAACCCGGCAACCGAGTTCGATTCTCACTCATGACCAAAAAGAATGGAAAATATTTGAACCGGTCCTAGGCCTCTCCTACGTCTATTCAGCACTGGGAAGACAAAGGCGGTCGGGCGTGGTGATGGCCATGCCATGCACTCGTGTGCCGTGCGAGCCTGGTGCTTGTGAACGGCACTTGCCCAGGTGCACACACCTGGGTGGTGCGGACTAATGTCCACTCGATTCTGCGTCACCGTCTGCCACACGGGGGCAGCTGCCATGAGGGGGTCCCCTGTAGCCAAAAATACCCTACAATGGAGCTTTTGAATGATTGAGATGCGATGGTGTGCGGAACTTTCAGATGCTGGGGCAAATGTATTTTTATTCGTTGGTGTGGGCGTCCACGGGACCTCTTCTTTAATCCATACATCCGTGTGTACACACACGCACAGAGTTCCGACGGGTCGCGGATGCGTGCGCAGAGAGAGCTTTGTGTTTGGTCATCCTGACTCTGTGTTTACGCCCGCTACCTTGCGCCGCTCCCGCCTCTCCTGCCCCCCTCCCTCCCGTCCGCCTGCCCGCCCGCCCTGCGATCGCCGGCGCCCCCAGCGCTACTCTACAAGCCGGTGGACAAGGTCACGCGCAGCACGCTAGTCCTGCATGTGAGTGCGGCACGCAGCGCGTCACGCGAGGGGTCGCCCGGCACGCCCGGCCTCGTGCCAGGCAGGCGCGATTCCCACCGGCGCTTTCCAACCGTGGGCGGTGGTGGTGGGCACGCCTGGAATCCTGAGAGATACACCTTTCCCCCCTCGCACGCGTGGGATTTTCTCCGGGCGTTCCGGTTTCCCCCCGCGTGTAAGCGCTCGTTAATTGGCCGATAACACCTCAATATATAGAGGACCACAGAGCTTGGGCAACGATTGGCGCTGGTTCGCCGCGTGGCTGCTGCCTTCCTGCTGGATCTGTCGGTTCCTCCTCGTGCCTCTGAGTCGTTCTCTGCTTTTGAGGGCGAGTGAATACTGTGCGTTGTGCTACAAGTTGAAATTGTTATTTTTATTATTATATTATTAATACCCGTGCAAAGATGTTGCTGCCTCTAGGGACTCGCCCAACAGAAAACCGGCCACATGAATCAAAAAGTTAATGCCACAAACTTAGAGACACAAACCAGAGCAAAAAAGGAACTATTGGCTAACAATGAAACGAGTTTTTTGCCCTGACGTTGCTCATCGTCCGTGATGGAGTGAACGTCGAGTGAACGTCGAGTGAACGTCGAGTGAACGAGTGCGTGGACGAGTCCAGCGGTGCGCGTGGTGGCCGAGTCTGTGCTCGTGCTGCCGTGCGGCTCTCCCGTTGTGTCGCGTCGCACGCGCCGGTCGGTACGGCGGCTCTCCGGCGATCGGCTTCACGTGCCGGGAGCGTGTTGGGGAACACGTGTGTTGCACGGTGCGTGGGTGCGAGCAGGACCTGCTGAAGCACACCCCGGTGACGCACCCCGACTACCCGCTGCTCCAGGACGCTTTGCGCATCTCCCAGAGCTTCCTCTCCAGCATCAACGAAGAGATCACGCCCCGGCGGCAGTCGGTCACCGTCAAGAAGGGCGAGGTCAGAGACGCTGCCCGGCACACGCCGGGTCACACGCCGGGTCACACGCCGGGTCACACGCCGGGTCACACGCCGGGTCACATGCCGGGTCACATGCCGGGTCACACGCTGGGTCACGCGCTGGGTCACGCGCTGGGTCACGCGCCGGGTCACACGCCGGGTCACATGCCGGGTCACATGCTAGGTCACATGCTGGGTCACATGCTGGGTCACATGCTGGGTCACATGCTAGGTCACATGCCGGGTCACACGTTGGGTCACGTGTTGGGTCACATGCTAGGTCACACGCCGGGTCACGCGTTGGGTCACATGGCACGCACGCAGATGAACGTCGCTTTCAGAGCCCCGTTCAGAGATGGGGTCTTTCTGGAGCGTGCCGTGCCCAAGGGGGAGGCCTCTGTCCGTCGCGTCAAGGCCTCGACAAGGGGAGCGCCGTTCACCTCGGTGGCGTCTGACCGGGCGCCAACGCAGGCGGCGCCGTCACCGGGCTCGCGCCGCGCCGTACCGAGCGCCCGCGCGCGGTGGTGCTGTTGGGAGTGCACGACGACCCGAGTCAATTATTTTTCCCCGCTGGGGCCAGACAGACAGACGCACGCAGATAAGGACGGACAGACGTTCACTCAGAGACACGGACACACACAAAGACACCGACGGACAAGACCCACAGGCAGAAACGAGGCTGCACGGAGAGACCTGAACCACAGCTCATGCTCCTCCAGCGCAGGGGGTTTGTGTTCCTCTTGCTCGGCACGTCCCGCACCCCTCTCCACTCCCCGCACTCCCGCACCCCTACACACCCGCACCCCTACACACCCGCACCCCTACACACCCGCACCCCTACACACCCGCACCCCTACACACCCGCACCCCGCACACTCCCGCACCCCTACACACCCGCACACCCGCACCCCCGTGCCCGTGCTGCGAGGCTCGCGTTGTTTTCTTTAAAAATTCCTGGGTTTTTTTTTAACTCCCGAGTTTTTTTTCTTTCTGCCTGGAACGTGCTGCGGCCACGCGACGGCAAAAACAAAAACCGCTCGGCACGTGACGGTCGAGTGCCGTGGTCGATGCGGCGGACAATCCGGCGTCGCGTTCACCGCCGCCGAGTGTGAAGGGCAGGAGGTTAGGGTGGGGTGGGAGGGAGGGGGGCCGGGGGGAGGGGGGGGGGCGCAGGCCACGTCATCGCCTACCCGGCTCGCGCTGTGACTCACGCGAGGCTCCGGCCACGTCACGCCGTGGGAAGCGAGAGTTTCTGAAGCGGTGCCAGGCGTGTTCTTGCCCGAGGTGGGTTTTGCCCGTCCCACGCTCTCGCCCCAAACCCCCCTCGCTCCCCGCCCCTGGTTTCTCTCTCGCCGTTCGTGGTTTTCGCTCGGGACGTCAGGACAGTCGCCGCCGTGGTAACGTAGTGGGCTTCTCAGGGCGCCACTTCCTGCCCCAGGCCTCGAGACTTCCTGTCTTGGCTGCTTCTCACCCCGTTAACTAAAGGTGCACTTCTCCAACCAATTCGTACAGATATCTGTCTCAACCGCCAATAGATCACCTTCTCATTGGAGATGCCTGAGCCTACCGCAGATATCTCCCCTATTCACGGAGATGTCTGTCCTAGCAACACAACTGGAAAACGCTTGAGGGTATCGTATATGCACAGCGGGCAGTTAGTGAAAATGCGTGGAATTGAGAACACACGTGGGTCGAGAGACCATCGTACTCGCAAGGAAAGCAAGCGGGCCTCGGGCAGGACGTGTCCCGGCTCGAAGGGGGGGCGGACAATGGCCGGTGGCGGAGACTCGCCCGGGAGTGGCGGCCAAAGGAGGGAACCCACCACGCCGGTGCCGGCCGTGGAGACAGAGCGACGGAATCGTGCCAGGTGGATCGTTGCATCGCGTGGCCACGAGAGGGTGGCGAAGCCTTAGCCCAGCAGTGGATAGATGGCAGCCGTCGTTGTCGATGACTCCGCTGCTTGGGGCGCGCGTGGCGTGGTGACGCGGCGGCGAGGCTGTGGCTCCGCGGGGCTCCGCAGGGCTCCGCGGGGCTCCGCGGGGCGGCAGCGCCGTTATCTCCGGTGGCGCCGAAGGGAGGTCATTGCCATGTGCTGCGTAAACGGTGCCCCAGTGGGTTTGTGCGTACGCAGTGCGTGTGTGTGCGTGCGTGTGTGTGTGTGCAGTGGGGAGCAGTATTTCAGCGGTTAGCACGCCGCGCTACGAACCCAGCAACAAGTTTGATTTCCACGCGCAACCGATGAACAGTGGACAATCCTTGAACCGGTTCCTGGGCCTCCCCTAGGTCGACTCAACCTTAAATGAGAACCTTGTGCAGTGTGTAAACAACGCCACTGGGAAGACAAAGGCAATCAGGCGTGGTGGTGGCCACCCACTCCCTCGTGTACCTTGGCAGCCTTCAGTTTCAGTTTCATTTATTTGGTATCGCCTTGTGAGCCATTCGGCTCTTTAATCGGGTGCAACTGCAACAAACAAAAAACTAAAACATGAACAAGAAAACATCCAGGAAAAAACTGCAAAGTCTTCCAGAAAAAAGCACCGTACACCAACGCAGTGTTCGCGAACAGCACTTGCCCCAAAAGTCTGTAAAGGATACACGGGGATCGTTGTCTTTGTGTGCGCACAGGGAGTGGTGCGATGACTGGCGTAGAGGTCAACGAACTGCGATAAGAACTCGGCGACCTGGGTTCAAGTTTCAGGGTTATTTTTTTCTATTCCGTGTCACCGCAGACTATCTCACACCCGGCCATCTTGCCGCCAGATCTAATGACTTCTTTGGGTTTCCTGAGCGATGGCGATGATGTGAAGAGCGACAAATCCAGCGGCTTTGCGGGGCGAGGAGGACACGAGTATGCGGATTCATGCGCAATCCCAGCTCCGTGTTGAGGATCCTGTATCGGTCGACTTTGCTTAACCCTTGGGTGGCCTCAAGGTGCATCTAGCCCGGCACAAGCGCCGTGGTGATGTCACTGCCGCTCAGTGGCGAATGGCGACTGTTGTTTACGGTGGTGGTGTTGACGGTGGTGACTGCGGCGGGTGTTTTGACGGCGGCGGTGGTGGTGTTGTTGCGTGCCGCAGAGCCGGCAGCTGGTGAAGGACGGCTTCCTGGTGGAGCTGTCGGAGGGCACGCGGAAGCTGCGCCACGTCTTCCTCTTCACCGACCTGCTGCTTTGCGCCAAGCTCAAGAAGCAGGCGGCCGGGTGAGCGTGCCGGCGGGCGAGTATGAGAGTGAATGAGAGCTGGTGAGAGAGCGGGTGAGACAGTGAATGAGTGAATGGGTGAGAGAGCGAGTGAGAGTGCGAGTGAGCGAGGGGGTGAGCGAGCGGGTTATGAGAGCGGGTGAGAGAGCGGGTGAGAGAGCAAGTGGGCGAGAGGGCGAGTGAGAGAGCGAGTGGTGGTGCCGGGACGGGCGAGCTGGTGAGTGACGTAGGGCGGTGTCCACGTGGGGCGGGCGGGGGTGGGGTTGGTAGATGTTGCAGGACCCTCCTGAAAATGAGGCTTGAGACTCGGTGAGTCAAGTCAAAATGATTTCCTGCTCAAATAATGACAATTCCACATTCCTATGGTGTGCATGGGGCAACAGGAAAGCCCAGCAGTACGACTGCAAGTGGTACATCCCGCTGGCCGACCTCAGCTTCCAGCCGCCCGACGAGTCATGTGACGCCGGCCAGCCAATCCCGGTGGTGCCCGACGAGGAGATCGAAGCCATGAAAATAAAGATCTCTCAGATCAAGAACGACATCCAGCGAGAAAAGGTGGGTGGGACGGCCGGCGCGGAGAGAGAGGGCGGCGGGCCCGTGGCTCGCCGCGTGGCCGTACGACGCGCCAACGTGTGCGGCCGTCTTTGTCGATCCGCTGCTGGATGAGGGCGCGTCCCCTTGCAGTCTGGTTTGTAGGGGTGATTAAACCACAGGGCGCACAATGTCAGTCTCGCTTCTAATTGGCAAGAGTTACCCACAGATAACTCGCATGGCAACTATCACCCCCCCCCCTTCTTGCAGACTAACGCCCATCCCCGAGCCAGGTGCTGAGCCCTCTCGCGCCACACAGAGACAGCTGCCCATAGGGGGCTCCACGCTCTTGAGACGTTTCTTCTCGCGAGCGCGGTACGCAGCCACCCGTCACCGCGCTGGTTGGTGTGGGTTGGTGAAGAACGGGGAGCATAGAAGCGCAGTACAACAATTGATTTCTCTGCACTGCCGTCTGCATGGTGGTCACCCATCCCAACGCCGTCCAGGACTGGATCGGGCGCGTTCCACGTGAATTTCTCTTTTGGGCGGGTGGATGGTTCGGGGACTATAAGTTAGTATTTTAAATCACGTTTACTGTTCGCATAACGTGGCTCGTGTGCAGACGCTGGGCCGGGTTATTACATCGCAGCTTCCTGAAGGATTGGTGGTGGCTTGGGGGAGACCTTCATCCAGCAGTGGACGACGACGACGACGATGATGAGCAGAGCTTCGTAGCAGAATGGGAGAGCGAATTTCACGCCGCTGCCCCTGCGCCGCCCAGCGTTGCGGGGGCCCCGGGATGCGCGCCGGGAGGAGCGCTCTTACTTAATTCTTGTCCTACCCCGTCTCCTGACCCCCCCCTACAACTCCCCACGACTCCCTCCCTGCTCCCCCACACCGCGTGACCTGTGGCACAGAAGGGCAACAAGGGGGTGAAGGCGGTGGAGCGGCTGAGGAAGAAGCTGTCGGAGCAGGAGTCGATGCTGCTACTGCTGTCGCCCAGCATGCCTCTCCGCACGCACAACCGCAACGGCAAGGTGGGCCGCCGACGGGGCGCGCAGGCGGCGCGACCGCACCGGGGCTCCGCGGCACGGCAGGGGCCCGGGCGCCGGGCTGCGTTGAAGAGGGGCGAATAGGAAAGGGAAGGGGGCCCATTTAATTCCTTGCACCGGGGCCCACGCGGACCGCGCTACCCCACCCACTATTGTGGTCGCCATGGACGACCGGGGTTGGACTCACACGGTTGTGTTGCTGCGCTGCCCCCCTCCTCCGCCCTGTACGCCCCTCCCCCGACAGAGCTACACGTTCCTCATCACCTCGGACTACGAGCGCGCGGAGTGGAGGGAGGCGACGCGGGAGCAGCAGAAGAAGTGTGAGTGCGCGCGCTCGCTCCTACGCACACACTCGCTCCTACGCACACACTCGCTCCTACGCACACACGCGCTCGCTCCTACGCACACTCACTCCTACGCACACACTCGCTCCTACGCACACACTCGCTCCTACGCACACACTCGCTCGCTCCTACGCACACACGCGCTCGCTCCTACGCACACACTCGCTCCTACGCACACACTCGCTCGCTCCTACGCACACACGCGCTCGCTCCTACGCACACACTCGCTCCTACGCACACACTCGCTCGCTCCTACGCACACACTTACTCCTACGCACACACTCGCTCGCTCCTACGCACACACTCGCTCGCTCCTACGCACACACTTACTCCTACGCACACACTCGCTCGCTCCTACGCACACACGCGCTCGCTCCTACGCATACACTCGCTCCTACGCACACACTCGCTCCTACGCACACACTCGCTCGCTCCTACGCACACACTTACTCCTACGCACACACTCGCTCGCTCCTACGCACACACGCGCTCGCTCCTACGCACACACTCGCTCCTACGCACACACTCGCTCCTACGCACACACTCGCTCGCTTCTACGCACACTCACTCCTACGCACACACTCGCTCCTATGCACACACTCGCTCCTACGCACACACTCGCTCGCTCCTACGCACACACGCGCTCGCTCCTACGCACACACTCGCTCCTACGCACACACTCGCTCGCTCCTACGCACACACTTACTCCTACGCACACACTCGCTCCTACGCACACACTCGCTCCTACGCACACACGCGCTCACTCCTACGCACACACGCGCTCGCTCCTACGCACACACACGCTTGCTCCTACGCACACACTTGCTCCTACGCACACACTCGCTCGCTCCTACGCACACACTCGCTCGCTCCTACGCACACACTTACTCCTACGCACACACTCGCTCGCTCCTACGCACACACTTACTCCTACGCACACACTCGCTCGCTCCTACGCACACACACGCGCTCGCTCCTACGCATACACTCGCTCCTAGGCACACACTCGCTCCTACGCACACACTCGCTCGCTCCTACGCACACACTTACTCCTACGCACACACTCGCTCGCTCCTACGCACACACGCGCTCGCTCCTACGCACACACTCGCTCCTACGCACACACTCGCTCCTACGCACACACTCGCTCGCTCCTACGCACACTCACTCCTACGCACACACTCGCTCCTATGCACACACTCGCTCCTACGCACACACTCGCTCGCTCCTACGCACACACGCGCTCGCTCCTACGCACACACTCGCTCCTACGCACACACTCGCTCGCTCCTACGCACACACTTACTCCTACGCACACACTCGCTCCTACGCACACACTCGCTCCTACGCACACACGCGCTCACTCCTACGCACACACGCGCTCACTCCTACGCACACACACGCTTGCTCCTACGCACACACTCGCTCCTACGCACACATGCGCTCGCTCCTATGCACACACTCGCTGGTCCGTGTGCTCGTCCGTGTGCTCGCGCGTGTCTGTGTCCTCACCTGAGTGGGAGTCGCCGAGGTGAGTCACCGTGGCGGATCTCCATCGTCTCAAGCGTGGTGGGTGAGGCTGGCTGACCCAGGCCTGGCTTCGGCTCCTCTCGGATGTTGGGGGGGGGGGTGTCCATTAGGTTAGTTGTGTGGGGGGCCATCGGGACGATGATTCACGCTAGGGAGGAGACTCAACTCGGCTGGGCCAGAGGGGCATTTAGTGGCAGGACTGACTCAAGTAGCCAGCTCGCACAGGCCCTGCGCTAAACAAATAGTGTGTCTCACCCATGTGGTGAGTGTCTGGCCTGTGTGGTGAGTGTCTCACCCATGTGGTGAGTGTCTGGCGTGTGTGGTGAGTGTCTCACACCACGTGTTGTGTGCTGCAGGCTTCAAGAGCTTCTCCCTGAGCTCCGTGGAGCTGCAGATGCTGACCAACTCATGTGTGAAGCTGCAGACGGTGCACAACATCCCGCTCACCATCAACAAGGAGGGTCCGTGTGCACGTACTCACCCTCGCAATCTCCTTCACCGACGCACTCGCCATCGCGCCCATCGCCTCCGTGGCAATCAGATCATCCTCAAACCTGGCACGCTTGTGAGCTGACATTGCCTGGATCCGTTTGCCGCCTCCACGTTCAGCCGTCAAGGATGATGACAAACGACACACAGGGCCTGGCGTATGATCAAGGCCTGATATCGCAGGCCTTGGGGCAGGGCCGTAGGAGGGGAGCCTCGGCCTAAATTAGTTTTTTGTCGTTGACCCTGCCCCGTTGAAAAAAGAGCTTCATAGCTCGTCGGATTCTTCCTGCAGTCTAAAAAAGGTTTTGATTCTGATATAAATTGATGCCTAAGCAAAACCACACACGCACACGCAATGTAACTGGTATTGGCCAAACATCCCAATGCTGTAAAATGACCTGCAAATCGCTCAGTTGGGATCACACACACAACAGCAGCAGCGGTTTCCACGTCAAAGATAATCAGGACGGATATTGTCCCATCCGGGTGAGAACCCCTCCCCACTCCCCTCTCCGCTCTCCGTGCCGTGTCTCCCCCTCCAGACGACGAATCCTCCGGCCTCTACGGATTCCTCAACGTGATCGTCCACTCCGCGATGGGATTCAAGCAGATAGCGAGTGAGGAGTCGCGCATCGTGCCACCACTCGTCACATAGGGCGGGGGGGGGGATAGTGTGGTGTTGTGATGTCGTGATCATGTGGTGATGTGCTGTTAAATCGGTGGCGTGTATAGTGGTGTGGTTATGTCTTATGGTAGTTGGGTTGTGTGATGATGTGCTAAGGCGTTGTGGTGCCATGGTGTTGTGGTTGGTGTGTTCTTGTGATCGTGGTGTGGTGTAGTTATGTTGTGGTGCAGTGGAATAGTGGTGTGCTCGTGTCGTGGTGTGAGTGGTGTGCATTACCTGCCCCCTCTCACTCCGAGCTCTCACACAGTTGTGTCTCACCGTGGTGTCATGTCTCACCATGGTGTGCTTGACCCCAGATCTTACTGCACCCTGGAGGTCGATTCCTTCGGCTACTTTGTGAACAAAGCCAAGACGCGTGTGTACCGCGACACCATGGAGCCCAACTGGAACGAGGTCAGTGCGGCCAGCACGGCGCGCGTCTCCCGGTCTGCGTCTGTGCGCGTGTGTGGAGACGGTGGCACGGTGGTTCATGCAACGCGCTACCAACCCGGCCACCCGAGTTCAATTCCCAGCCGCAGCTAACTCTGGTGGCGAGTGATATCAGACCCGGTTCTGGGCCTCCCTTGGGTGGATTGGTTGTGAACATCGGCACTCGGGCTCACAGCCGCCCCGGGTAAATGCGTCGTTGCCCACGGTTGCTCTGAATTTGTGCCGGTATACCGCGGTGCCGGGGACCTCGACGAGGAGTCTCCGCTGCACGAGGAGGTTGAAAAGGTTGAGGAGGTTGAGCGGCCACGACGGGCCTATGGGGAGAGGTTGCAGGATCTGACCTCTGACCCAGAATACAATAATGGTTGACCTTGACAGCTGATGTCTTGTTGCGTGTTGCTGCCGCCGCCGCACGCCTCCCATCTCGCAGGAGTTTGAGATTGAGCTCGAGGGCTCGCAGACGCTGCGCATTCTCTGCTACGACAAGTGCTACGACAAGAGCAAGCTGGCCAAGGACGACGCCGAGATCGTCGACAAGATCATGGGCAAGGGGCAGGTGCAGGTGAGAGGTCACGCGGGCGGCCACCCGCTCCCCGCCGTCACGGTGCGTCACCGTCTGCTCGCGTTCGCCGTCTATGGGGGGGGGGTCGAGATCCACGGTGCTAAATGGTTGGGCCTGCTCGCCCCACCGTCGTTTGTCGTAGAGGACGGCGCTCGTCGGCGTGGAGGTGCACCGGCTGTGTGCCGGGCGTCTCGGCGGTCACGTGCGGAGCGGCGGTCGCGTCCAGGCCGAGGCGGTGCCACATCGGCTTGCGGAGTCAAATGAAGTCTGCTTGATTGTCTTTAGCCAAATGAGAAGTCAGCAGGCCAGGATGAGGTCTCATTTGCACGAGTGAGTGACCTGGCTCCACCACAGTGACGAAGGCAAAACAAATACAAGTAGAGTGATGAAGCAAAATAGAAATCGGAGCAAAACAGCCACGTGACATGAGGAATTTAAAATTGTACACAAACGTACGTTGGTGGTGAATAATATATTCCCTGTAGCACGAGTCAATTCTGGCAGATTATTTTTAGACTTATTACAGTAAAATAACAAATGTGCGTTCTGGTAACGTTAAACAGATTGAGCGCGACTTATTATACCAATGTGTAAACAGTCGAGGACTGTGTGCCAAGATGCCCTGAGGCCCTCACACAGCCTGTCAGGCTGTGATGCGGGGCCGACGCTTGGCCAGGGCGGCCCAGCGCGAGTTGTGACCCAAGCCTGCGCGATGGTGCTGCTCTCCCAGCAGCAAGGTGTCTTCCCCTCGTCTGTAGCACCACCAAGCGGTGTGCATTAGTTCGTGATTCTGCTGCTGCTGCGTTGGCAGTTGTGCAACAAACACAAATAATAACAACAACAACAAACTAATAAAAAAACTCGTCAATAACACTGCGGCCTTAAGAGGGCAAGTATATTGTAGGTGATGTCCCCGTGTTAACCCTTTGCACCGTTTTGAGAAATCCTGCAGAACGGAATCGTTTAACACGTTGGCTGTCACAACCAATATCATCCATGATACAGGTTTTTTGGGTTGGATCGCGTAAATATTGCGTAAATATTATTTACGCAATCGAACCCAAAAAAACATGTAATATGGAGAACGGAATCGGTTTGGGCGAATTGTGGTGACGTCACTGGCATTGCCCTCCTGACTTGATCCAAATGTCCGATCTTTGTCATCTTAAAACCTGTTCATGGCGAGTCCACAGTGGCAGAGAGAGCGTCCAGAATTGCATATGAATTTTATCGTTAAGAGTTCAGCGTCATTTAAATAAAATAAAAAACACCAGCTTTTGTATCCTGGCGGTGGACCTTAGTTACCCCTCCTCCACCCAGGGTTGCCACCTCTCGGCTACAAAAAACCGAGACGTATCTTGGGGACAGGAAAATCCTCTAACAGTGGAAGACAGGGGAGAGCCGCACATAAACACATCTTCTTGAACGGCGTACTCCAACACAACTGACAAAAAATGTCAACTTGAATGTCCCGGGGAGACTTGCGGTTTTCTCGGGAATAATACAACAACGCTCGCTCCAGGGCAAAGCAGAAGGGGTGGCAGCACGACCCCCTCTAGGCGGACAGCTCCTCACCCCACGCCCTGTGCTGTGCGCCTTCTCCCCTTTCTGCAGCTGGACCCGGGGGCTCTGCAGGACAAGGACTGGCAGCGGACGGTCATTCCCATGAACGGGGTGAGGCTTTTTGCGTCGTGACCAGGCCTCGTGCGGGGGCCTCCCATCGTTAACGCCCCCCGGCCCCGCGGGTTCCTGGGCGTTCTTCTCACTTTTGTCACCGATACCGCTTTTCCCACTGCGCAGCCGAGCCGTGCCAGGGCCATACTGAGCCAGCGCGGCTCAGGAGGTGCCAGGGTTGTTTTTCCACTGCAGTAGCCAAGCTGAGCCACTGGCGTCGCCCTCGTTTGAACGAGCGGAGAAGTGTGTAGGCCCGCCTCTAGCCCAGTGGCCTGAGTTCGATACCCGGGCCACAGCTAACATCGGTAACATCAGTGGTGATTACTTGAACTGTTCCTGGGCTTCCCTGAAGTTGCGAGGCATTAAATGATTACCTGCTACACCACGTACTTGTGAGGAGTGCCAGGCTTAATAGGTGCTCGCTAAAAGCACTTGTCCTAGCAGCCTGTTGTCTACACAAGACGTCTTAATCTGTGTGTGTATAGGTTGAATCGGTCTTAAATGAGTACCTGGTGCAGTGTGTAAACATCATCGCCAGCAAGACGGAGGGCGGCCGGGTGTAATACATTCGTAGGTGCTGCTCCCTAGCAGCACTTGCCCCAACAAGCTGTTGAGGCCACACGGGGAGATCTTTGTCCTTGTGTGCATTTCTGTTGGTGTGCTTTGTCTCTCGCTCTGCTCGTCGTCGCCGTGGAGCTCAGATCGAGGTGAAGCTCTCGGTGAAGTTCACGAGCCGCGAGTTCAGCCTCAAGCGCATGCCGTCGCGCAAGCAGACGGGCGTCTACGGCGTCAAGATCGCCATGGTCACCAAGTGAGGGGCACACACGGCTCGCCGTGCTAAACAGTCGTTCTGAACGCGAGTTTTTTTGCGTTACCCTCGTGTAACGATTCCAGCTCTCACCTATGTGTGTGTTTGTGCGCGTGTGTGCGTGTGTGCGCTTGTGTGCGTGTGTGCGCGTGTGTGCTCGTGTGTACGTGTGTGCGCGTGTTTACGCGTGTGTGCGTGCGTGTGCAGACGCGAGCGCTCCAAGGTGCCGTACGTGGTGCGCCAGTGCGTGGAGGAGGTGGAGAAGCGCGGCCTGGAGGAGGTCGGCATCTACCGCGTGTCCGGCGTCGCCACCGACATCCAGGCGCTCAAGGCGGCCTTCGACATGAGTACGCACGCACGAGCGTACGCGGACACGAACACGCGTACACGGACGCACGCAACGGCCGCCATTCGCCACGGCGTGGCAGCGACGTCACCGCGGCGCTCGCGCCAGGCCAGGTGCGCCTGGAGGCCCTCGCGCGACGCGTGGATGGCTCGCTGCCGGCAGGCGGTGCTTTGAGTTGACGGACAACTCACGTGTGCAGACACTAGAGACAAAGACGCACGTGGACACACACACAGACACGTACACGTGGAGACACTGCGAGCAGTGTTGGAGCCGTGTGCCCCCGCGTGTCTCCCAGATGACAAGGACGTGTCGGTGATGATGAGCGACATGGACGTGAACGCCATCGCGGGGACGCTGAAGCTCTACTTCCGCGAGCTCCCCGAGCCGCTCTTCACCGACGAGCTCTACCCCAACTTCGTCGAGGCCATCGGTGCGGCTAACACCGCCACTGTGGCACCACCACCGCCGTCACCGCCGTCACCGCCGTCACCACCGACATCACCGCCATCGCTCCACCCTTTGTGAGCGTCGGCAGCGATGCGCGCGTCCCGGTGGTGTGTGAGCGTGTGCGTGCGTGTTTCCGTGTGTGTGGGATGTGCAGCCCTGTCGGACCCCGTGGCCAAGGAGAACTGCATGCTCAACCTGCTGCAGAGTCTCCCCGAGCCCAACCTCAACACCTTCCTGTTCCTGCTCGACCACATGAAGCGGTACCTACCCACTCGCTCTCTCTCTCTCCCCACTCGCTCTCCCCACTCTCTCTCTCTCTCTTCACATGCTCTCCCTGTTCTCTCTCCCCACTCGCTCTCCCCCCACTCGTTCTCCCACCATTTGCTCCCCTAACTCTCTCTCCCCACTCGCTCTCCCCCAACTCGCTCCCCCAACTCTCTCTCCCCACTCTCTCTCCCCCACTCTCTCTCACTCCACTTTCTCTCCCCCACTCTCTCTCACCCCACTCTCTGTCCCCCCACTCTCCCCACTCTCTCTCCCCACTCTCGCTCTCCCCACTCTCTCTCCCCCCACTCCCTCTCCCCACTCTCTCTCCCCCACTCTCTCTCACCCCACTCTCTCTCCCCCCACTCGCTCTCCCCACTCTCGCTCTCCCCACTCTCTCTCCCCCCAATCGCTCTTTATTTTCCATCACACTCGCTCCTCCCACACCTCCAATTAGCACGGTTGGCTACGTACGGTGCGAAAGAAGTTCAACATAATACACATTCGATCCAGTCTCGTTCACTCTCACCTCGGCTCGATTGACTCGGGCGAATCCCCCGCGTCGACTCCGGCTGAACGTCGACGTGAGAATCGAAACGCCCTCCGCCCCCCGTGCTCCGTGAGCCGGGGCGCAGCGTTGCCACGCCGTGGGAGATGGCGGCGGTCGCCGGGTCCCGCCGAGCGCGGACCCAGAGGCCCGAGCGTCGAGCGGCCTGCTACAAAGTTGCGAATCCGTCGCGCGGGGCGGCCACCGTTGGAGCGACGCGCCGCCGAGCGGAGCGAAACCTGGCCGGTGCCGACGGGACGTTCGGTGGCGCGGGGCCCGGCCCGGCGGTGCACCTGGCGCCGAACCCCGGTCACGACGCTCCGCTGCGCTTGTGCTCTCCTTCCCACACCCCAGCGTGGCCGACCAGGAGCCCATCAACAAGATGTCGCTGCACAACCTGGCGACGGTGTTCGGGCCCACGCTGCTCCGGCCGTCCGAGAAGGACAGCAAGCTGACCCCCAACCCCAGCGTGCCCATCACCATGACGGACAGCTGGTCGCTCGAGGTCATGTCGCAGGTGCCCCCCGCACGCCGCGTCCCCCCCCCCCCCCACCCACCGTCATCTACGCCCCTCGCGTTGTTGGCCATGGCGAACACCGCCCGGTGGTGCACGCGCGGTGCTCGCCGCTCGCTGCTGGAGAGTTCACTTTGTCGGCTGCGCCAGGGATGTTTAGCTGCCGGCCTTCGACCCCCGCCCAACGGCCCCCTCCCCACCCCTGCAGAGCGACCAGCCGAGCCCTAAATGAACAAGGTCTCGAGAGATGGGAGAGCGGGAGACGAGAGACGCCCGCTCGTGGTGGCATGTGGTGTGACATCGTAGCGATGTGCCGTGTGACATCGTAGCGATGTCTGTGCATGTGGCGTTTGAGACATCGCGCTTCTGAGCGTTTACAGAATCGTAAGAATTGCTGTCCTGTCATGTGTCGAGCCCACTGCGCATGCCCCACTGCACGTGCCCCACTGCACGTGCCCACTGCACGTGCCCACTGCACGTGCCCCACTGCACGAGGTCACTGCCAGCTCAGCACAGCAGGGGGCAGCACGCAGCTGTCCCCTAGGCTCGGGGGCAGTGTCACCTCTGCTGTAGCCAAGTTCAACCCCCCCTCGGAGGCCTCCCCGTACCGTGTCACTAAATGAGGGTTGTTTGACCATGCTGCACTATTCTGGTCGGTGTGGGAGGGTGAAGGGGGTGGCTGGGAAACTCATGACCGGGTTACTCATTATGAAATAAGTATTATAGTAAATATTATAATAGTGAGAAGTTAATTTATGATACATGGAGCGATAGAGCAGTGGTTCACACAATCTACCGTCGGATGAGCCGTGGTCATGTGACTATTGATGAGAGTCCGGCAGAGTGCCAATTTCATCGTCTCGATGCCCCCCCCCCCCCCCTCGTGCCCCCACAGGTGCAGGTGCTGCTCTACTTCATGCAACTGGAGTCGATCCCCAAGCCCGACAGCAAGCGGCAGAGCCTGCTCTTCTCCACCGAGGTCTGACGGCGACGTCTCCCGGAGTCTTCAATCCACCCGCCGACCCGACCGACCGTCCAGCGTGGCCCCGCTCGGACACGGAGGACGCCCCCCCCCCCCCCCCCCGCCCACCCCAGCCCCCGTGGGCCACACGGGAGGCCGAGCGGATTTGTCGGCGAGGGCGCGCCGGGGTTCTGGGCGGCGCCGACCCCTCCTCCGTGCGGCGTCCTCGCCGATCTCGGCCTCGGCCTGCACTCGGAGTTTGTTCTGAACCAAACGACGGCGTTGCTTTTCTTGAAGTTCAAATAGCGAACCGCGATTCCACCCATGCTGGACGAACGACCGTGACCGAGGGAGCGGTCCTGCCCGACCGTAGCGCGCACGCCAGCGTCGATCTTGCCTTTCGTCCAAAGTCCTTATCGGGGATCGAACCACGGTCCACCACCGGCGGGTGTGGGGACCTCCCCGTGAGCTCCTGGGTCTCCTCCTCCTCCTCGTGCAGGAGCTGGGCCCCACGAACAGTGACGCTCATCTCAGCGGCAAGAGCGTGACCCAGGCGGCTTCTGACGACAACAACAACAACAATTCCCGTTACCTTAACAACAACAAAAAACCTGATCCTTATATTTACATTTTGTTCCTATCTGTGTTTTGTGTATGTTCAATGATGGCGTCCTTTATTTGTTTTAAAGGATTTGATCCCAACACAGCAAAAGATGTGTTGGGGTTGTGGAATGACCCCTGGGGAAGGTCATGCCCCTGATTGGAGGGGTCACGACCCCAAAAGGGGTCGCAACCGTGCGGGAAGGTGTCATGCCCCCTTAGGGAGGGGTCATGACCCCGAGGGGAGGGGTCATGACCCCAAAGGGACGGTTCACGACCCCGGGGGGAAGGGGTCATGACCTCTCCACGTGACCCGAGGAGTCGTGCCCATCCGTGCGCCCTCCCTCGCGCCGCCTGTAAGATCTGCCGCTCCGTCTCTCCGGGCCGTGTCCCCCCGGAGAGCATGTCCACTTCAAGTCCGCCCTCTGCCGCAGCGGCGCCGAGCGGACGGACCAGTGCCTGTGGCAGAAATGTTTCTCTCGTGGTTCTCATTCTTACGTCTTTAGTCCCTGGTCTTGACGAGCCAGCGTGTGGCAAGTTCCCGGCGGGTCCCGATGGGGACCCCGAGAGGTCCCGTGTCAATGTGGGGTAATATATATGATATATATGCATCGCTCATTGCGTTTGGAGGGGAGCCACAGAGGCACGCCCCCCCCCCCCCCCGTTAGGGACGTCTGTGGCAGGAATGTATGACCCCCCCACCCACCTCTGTGCCCCCTGTCTCCGACCCCCCCTGCCCCCCTCCTCCACGTCCCGTACGTTCCACAAAGCAGGACATACTTTTTTGTGAGCATGCAAGCCTTGAATGAACACGAGGTTCGAAGTCTTAACCAATTGCCAGAGCGACCCGGTGACTTATAATTTTGTAGCGAGCCTGTGATGGTCGTGGGTGCGTGCGGTGAGCGGCTTCTCGTTGTCCCACATGTGTCCCACACGTGTCCCACACGTGTCCCACACGTGTCCCACGCGTGTCCCACGCGTGCCCCCAGCTTGCCCCCACGTGTGTCCCACGCGTGTCTCACACGCTGGGGACACGGTGTGTGACAGCAGGGCCCACGCCGGCCGCGCTGCTGCCCCACTCGTCCTACACCTGCCCTGGCGTGTCTCCCACCTGTCTCCACGCGTCCCAGCTTCGTCTCCGCTCGCACTGCACCCGACTGCACACGTTCAGTCACTTGTTCCAGTCTTCTCCCTGCGTGTCCCACGCTGGTGTCTGCACCGCGTCCCCTCCCGCGTGACCCCCCCCCCCCCCCGTGTCTGGGACACACGATGTCCGCTCCCCCCACGTGGACGCTCGTGTAGGAGCTGTGGGGCCGACGAGAGCCGGTGAAGTTGCGTGTGTGTGTGTAAATGACTATAACATTATTAACGATAGTGATGCTCATCCAGCGATGCTCATCCAGCGATGCAGAACAACTATTATGACGATGACACCAGGAAGGCCGTTCTCCTCTTCACCAAGGGGGGGGGGGGTCCCCCCGTTGACCGTGTTGAGCTCCTTCACGTTAAGTTATTCCGCAGCCGAGAGCGCTCCGGGTTCCGTGAGTTGACCCGCGGGTTCGGAGCGCGCCGTCCTCCCGGGACAATGTGTGTTGAGTTCCTGTCGACCCGGGGCGAGTGCGATAGTCTGTGTCCTGTGTCGCATGCCAGGGTTCCTCCAAACTCCAGCCCTGGTGAGCCCCCCCCCCGGCCCCTCGCCACCATCAAGCCTCTCCCTGGTTCCCATGGTCTACTCCGCTCTGATGCAAAAGTCGGCACACGCCACACGCGCCTGATGATTGCGCAACGTGCACCTCGGACGAGCACAGTTGATCACATACGGTGCGAAAAAGGTTCAACGTACGTACAATTGGATTATGCGTCATGTGCAAACCACGAAAGACACATGAACACACACGCGCACACATGAACACACGCGAACACGTGCGCGGTTTGTACAATTGAACGACGCGCTCAGTGGGGTGTGTTCACAATTATCAGGCATGTGCAACGTGTCGCACCTTGAGTCGAAACTCAGCGGGGACGATTGGTAAACACGGAGAGCCGGGCCGTGGTGGGCCGCGAGGACTGGAGTCTTGGGAACCCGGTCGCGTGCAGTGTCGGTGGCTCCAGGTTGGGGAGGCTACGCAAAATCCACCCCATGTCTTCCAGTCTCGCGTGATAAACCACTCACGTGCAGGTGGATTCGTTGAGCAAACGGAACGCGCTGACCGTGCCGTCAACGCACATAGAGACCCTCGGAGTCGCATAGAGGCCCATAAGACTCAAACCCATAAATACATTTGCAGAGAGACACCGTGGCCTCACGTAGAGACCCAGCACTGGTGCATTATCATCGCCATCGTCACCAGTTATCACCGCTCCCTGCTAATTATCATTTGGTCGCATAGACTCCGAAAGACCCATTGACTCTCTTAGAGACCCATCAACTCGGAGAGAGAGACCCATAGACTCGCATCGAGAGCCAGCACTGGTGCATGCCTCGTCATCAACCGCGTCATCAACCGCGCCACACGCCGCATCTCTGTGCTTCGACCATCGGTGACTCCACCCCCGCACGTGGCTCGACCGCGAGACTGGAACCCCCCCCCCCCCCCGGGCCTGGGGCCACGCGACGCCACGGGTCGTGAGGCCGGGCCCGGGCTGCCCTCGGGCCGGCGCCGGTGGTGTAGACTGACATGCAGGCATGTTTCTTTCGTGCGTTACTTCGATTTTAGTTTGTTTTGTTTTGTGTCGCTGACAGAGCGAGCCATCCCAAGGTGGCCTCCTCCGCATTGGTTCTTATTTAACCCTTGACCCCGACTCTTAACCCTCTAACCCCTCCGGTGCTGTGCGTCGAGTGTTGTTTTAATTTATGTTCGGGTCACTTTCGTTACAAGCGTTCCGTTCCGAACCGGTTCCCCCGTTGAGTTCCGTTCCGCGCACGGGGGGCTCGGCTCAGTCGGTGACGCGCCGCATCGAGAAGACGTCGCTGAGAGGTCACGTGAAGGAATCAAGCAAAGCATAAATAAATAAATCGCATTACTCATTTAACCTCGCTACAGCTTCCAGCTCCTGTGCTCTGTTACAAACCTGCGCTCAAACCTACACTCAAACCACACTCGCGAACGAGTCGTTCAGAATCTTTACTTAGATTGCAGAAGGAGAAATCCGATGAGCCATGAAGCTCTTTTTAACAGATGTCCAGTAGAGGTGGGTCAGCAAGTTACAACACCAAACAAAACAACAACAATCGATACATTCCTGCCGATGTTTCAGCTTTAAATGCAATGTTGGCATCATCGTCATGAGCATCATCCGTCACACTGCGCATCGCATGCAGTACGCTCAGTGAATTCTCATTGTTGCTACGACTCTACCCACGACAGCTCCACTGAGTCTCAAGACTCCTGTTCAGGAGGGTCCTGGCAAGCTGAGTCATTTGCAGGTGATCTCACAGCAGTGGATTGTGGTTGGTCCAATGCCAGTCACATATTGTGTTTCGCTCGAGGATACTGATACAAATAATTTGCCACATTGGGAAAATTACCCCACGCCACCCCGCGTATATCACTACATATGCCGTGCCACGCCAGGCCACGCTACACCATGCACCGCCACACCAGGCCACGTTACACCACGCGACACCACGCTACACCAGGCCATGCCACAACATGCCACGTTTCACCACGCCTGACCACGCCGTGCCACAGCGGGTGCCACGTGACCCGCGTCGCACGTGTCCGCGACGGCGCCGGCTGCAGCCCCACAGCGCGATGCCTGCCGCCAGAGAGAGCGTGGGACAACGTTTCGCCGACAATTAAAACGACGAATTCGCCAAACTCTTTGGTTCTTTCGGTAAAGTCACGTAGGTATAAAATAAAATAAATCACGACGTTTCGGGCGCAACACAAGCGTCCGTCATCAGGTGTGAAAGCGCAGTCACGAAAGCTTGAAATCAAGTCGAATTCACCATGAAACCCGAGGTCTCTGCAGGCCAATCGACCGAAACGTCGGGTTTTCATTTCCCCTATTCATCACGAGACGGCACATTCGCTGATTTTCTTTGTCGGGGGGGGGGGGGGGAAGGCTGCCTGCAGCCTGCCGGCTTGCGGTGACGACGACTCGGGCCGGTCACGCCGGGAGGAGGAGGGGGGCTGGCGCGGGGCTGTGGGAAGTCACGCGCAGCCCCCCCCGCCCCCCCCCCATGTGACAGCGCGAATTCCCCTGCACTCGGCTTGCGGCTCCCCTCCCATCTCCTCCCTCCCCGCCCATCTGCCTCCTCTCAGCTCCACCCCCTCCCCTGCCCCCACCGCCTCCCTCCCCCGCGCCTCGCATCGCGTCCTCGACTCCGCGGAGCGAGCGCGGTCGCGCCGCTTCCTCGAGGCGGAGAGTCCCGGGGCGAGAGGCGCCTCCCCCCCCCTCCCCCTCGGAGCGGGAGCCGGGGGATCAGGAAGCGGGCATCTGGGACCAGGGAGCCGGGGTCTCGGGAGTGGGGTTCAAGGAGGTTGGAGATCCGTGAGCCGGGGATCGTGGATCAGTATTCGGGGACTGTGGTTCTGGGAGTCGTTGCTATCCCATTGCGCGAGAGGGTAGCGAGAGAGCTGCAGACAGGAGTGTGGAGAGGCGAGAGGGACCCAGTAAGAGGGAGAGGGGTTCGGACAGGGACCCCGTGGATCCCCGCTGACTCCACCGATCCCAGCAACGAGGAGGAGCCCGAAGGCGCAATGACGCGTGGAGAAGAGCATCAGCCTCCATCACAGAGGTGAGTTCACCGACTCCCCGCCACCACCACCACCACAATGGGCTGCGATCATTGTTCATCTCACACACACACACACGTGTACACACACACAACAACAACAACCGCCATTCGCCACTAAGTGGCAGTGACGTCATCACGAACGCTTGTGCCAGGCCATGTGCACCTTGAGGCCACGTGAAGTGTCGAACGCCCGCTGGCAGGAGGTCACGGGGCAGACCCAGGTGCCACGGGTCGACTGACTGAGATGACTGGCTGATGCACCACCTGTGCCCTCTACTGTGCCAACTTGCTGTACTTTAGCCACCCGGCGCTCCGCTCGTTGTTGTGAGCGTCGCTCCTCCGCCCTCCGTTGTTGTTGGAGGGCGACTGCCTCCAACTGCCCAGTAGCGTCCTTCACGAGCCTCCTCCACAGAGGCCGATCTTGACACCGCTGGTACCAGTCATCGGCAAGTCCACTCAGCTCCATGTCCTCTTGTACCACATCACTCCATCTCTTCTCTAGCCCGTGCCGCGCCCGTTTAGCTTTCTCGATCCGGCCGAACAAAAGCTGTTTAGGCATGCGGTGGCTGGGCATGCGGGCTACATGACCCAGCCAACGCAGCCTTGCCTGCTGGAGGAGCTCACCGATAGGACTTTGCTCAGATCTTTCAAGGATTTGTGAGCGCCTCATACAATCCAGCCTGGTTAAACCCAGAATGGATCGTAGGCAGGCCAACCTAAATGTTTCCAACCGGCGAATATGCTCCATTAGGGAGATCCACGTTTAGCAAGTGTAGAGAAGGGAGGGAATGACTGTGGCCGAGAAGACCTGAAGCTTCGTGCGGAGCGACAGGCCAGGTAGCTTCCACACAGCGTTACGCAACCGATGAAAGATTGCCGCTCGACTGATTCGGAGTGAGAACTCTGCTGTTACACTGGAGCCGGTCATAAGCACACTGCCCAGGTATGGGAGACTCTCCACTCTCTCCACTCCTGTCCCATCACCGATTGGGAGTTGTGGGGGTGGAGTGTCCGATGGTACAAAATACCCAGGCAGGTGCTTAGTTTTGGTGGGGCTGATGGTCAGGCCCCACCTCTTAGTGGCACGCTCCACTCTCAGCAGCAGCATCTCCAACTCCTCCTCTGATTGAGCAGCTATTACCAAATCCTCGGCATACATAACGTGGTTGACCAATAGGGAGCCATCCCTTGATCGCACCCTGGCATCGATCAGCCTCCCATTATATCTGTACCAGATGGAAATTCCCCCGGTACAGCTATTGAAGGCTTCACGAACTACGTGGTCAAAATAGATGTTAAATAATGTTGGAGCCAGAGGACATCCCTGTCGCACCCCAAAGTGAACAGGGAATGGCTCCGACTCGCGGCCACGTAGTTTTACCCAGGCACGCTCACCATCATGAAGGTCCTTAATGATCGTGAGCAGCGAGTCAGCGACTCCGAAAGCACAAAGAACAACCCAGTGCCCAGGCCTACTGATGGTATCATAAGTCTTGACCAGGTCAATAAAGCAGAGATGTAGGTCTTGTTGGAATTCCCTACACCTCTGCCCCGTGCCTTTCCTGATCTCAGACTCTGGATCGCCTCCTAACGTTGAACTCGCTCATACGCCTTACGCTCACACTCGACACATACACCACACACACTACACACACCACACACCTGTACTTACCCCTGCGTACACACACACTATACACACTCTACACACACACATACACACACCTGTACTCACCCCTGCGTACACGCACACTACACACACACACTACACACACACACTACACACACACTAAACACACACACACTCTACACACACACTCTACACACACACTCTACACACACACTAAACACACACACACTCTACACACACACTACACACACACTACACACACACTCTACACACACACTCTACACACACACTGTACACACACCACACACACTACACACACACTACACACACACACTACACACACACACTACACACACACCTGTACCCACACGCGCCGGTGTGAGGTTCACTCTCCCTCCGACCCCGCCGCTCGAACCGCCCGCTATAACCACACACACCACGATCAATACGTGATGTTGGGGGTTGTTTCATGATCACAGTCGGCCACGATCAATACGTGATGTTGGGGGTTGTTTCATGATCACAGTCGGCCACGATCAATACGTGATGTTGGGGGTTGTTTCATGATCACAGTCGGCCACGATCAATACGTGATGTTGGGGGTTGTTTCATGATCACAGTCGGCCACGATCAATACGTGATGTTGGGGGTTGTTTCATGATCACAGTCGGCCACGATCAATACGTGATGTTGGGGGTTGTTTCATGATCACAGTCGGCCACGACCAATACGTGATGTTGGGGGTTGTTTCATGATCACAGTCGGCCACGATCAATACGTGATGTTGGGGGTTGTTTCATGATCACAGTCGGCCACGATCAATACGTGATGTTGGGGGTTGTTTCATGATCACAGTCGGCCACGATCAATACGTGATGTTGGGGGTTGTTTCATGATCACAGTCGGCCACGATCAATACGTGATGTTGGGGGTTGTTTCATGATCACAGTCGGCCACGACCAATACGTGATGTTGGGGGTTGTTTCATGATCACAGTCGGCCACGATCAATACGTGATGTTGGGGGTTGTTTCATGATCACAGTCGGCCACGATCAATACGTGATGTTGGGGGTTGTTTCATGATCACAGTTGGCCACGATCAATACGTGATGTTGGGGGTTGTTTCATGATCACAGTCAGCCACGATCAATACGTGATGTTGGGGGTTGTTTCATTATCAGTCGGCCACGATCAATACGTGATGTTGGGGGTTGTTTCATGATCACAGTCGGCCACGATCAATACGTGATGTTGGGGGTTGTTTCATGATCACAGTCGGCCACGATCAATACGTGATGTTGGGGGTTGTTTCATGATCACAGTCAGCCACGATCAATACGTGATGTTGGGGGTTGTTTCATTATCAGTCGGCCACGATCAATACGTGATGTTGGGGGTTGTTTCATGATCACAGTCGGCCACGACCAATACGTGATGTTGGGGGTTGTTTCATGATCACAGTCGGCCACGATCAATACGTGATGTTGGGGGTTGTTTCATGATCACAGTCGGCCACGATCAATACGTGATGTTGGGGGTTGTTTCATGATCACAGTCGGCCACGATCAATACGTGATGTTGGGGGTTGTTTCATGATCACAGTCAGCCACGATCAATACGTGATGTTGGGGGTTGTTTCATGATCACAGTCGGCCACGATCAATACGTGATGTTGGGGGTTGTTTCATTATCAGTCGGCCACGATCAATACGTGATGTTGGGGGTTGTTTCATGATCACAGTCGGCCACGATCAATACGTGATGTTGGGGGTTGTTTCATGATCACAGTCGGCCACGATCAATACGTGATGTTGGGGGTTGTTTCATGATCACAGTCGACCACGATCAATACGTGATGTTGGGGGTTGTTTCATGATCACAGTCGGCCACGATCAATACGTGATGTTGGGGGTTGTTTCATGATCACAGTCGGCCACGATCAATACGTGATGTTGGGGGTTGTTTCATGATCACAGTCGACCACGATCAATACGTGATGTTGGGGGTTGTTTCATGATCACAGTCGACCACGATCAATACGTGATGTTGGGGGTTGTTTCATGATCACAGTCGGCCACGACCAATACGTGATGTTGGGGGTTGTTTCATGATCACAGTCGGCCACGACCAATACGTGATGTTGGGGGTTGTTTCATGATCACAGTCGGCCACGACCAATACGTGATGTTGGGGGTTGTTTCATGATCACAGTCAGCCACGATCAATACGTGATGTTGGGGGTTGTTTCATGATCACAGTCGGCCACGACCAATACGTGATGTTGGGGGTTGTTTCATGATCACAGTCGGCCACGACCAATACGTGATGTTGGGGGTTGTTTCATGATCACAGTCGGCCACGACCAATACGTGATGTTGGGGGTTGTTTCATGATCACAGTCGGCCACGATCAATACGTGATGTTGGGGGTTGTTTCATGATCACAGTCGGCCACGATCAATACGTGATGTTGGGGGTTGTTTCATGATCACAGTCGGCCACGATCAATACGTGATGTTGGGGGTTGTTTCATGATCACAGTCGGCCACGATCAATACGTGATGTTGGGGGTTGTTTCATGATCAGTCGGCCACGATCAATACGTGATGTTGGGGGTTGTTTCATGATCACAGTCGGCCACGACCAATACGTGATGTTGGGGGTTGTTTCATGATCACAGTCGGCCACGATCAATACGTGATGTTGGGGGTTGTTTCATGATCACAGTCGGCCACGATCAATACGTGATGTTGGGGGTTGTTTCATGATCAGTCGGCCACGATCAATACGTGATGTTGGGGGTTGTTTCATGATCACAGTCGGCCACGATCAATACGTGATGTTGGGGGTTGTTTCATGATCACAGTCGGCCACGATCAATACGTGATGTTGGGGGTTGTTTCATGATCACAGTCGGCCACGACCAATACGTGATGTTGGGGGTTGTTTCATGATCACAGTCGGCCACGACCAATACGTGATGTCGGGGGTTGTTTCATGATCACAGTCGGCCACGATCAATACGTGATGTTGGGGGTTGTTTCATGATCACAGTCGGCCACGACCAATACGTGATGTTGGGGGTTGTTTCATGATCACAGTCGGCCACGACCAATACGTGATGTTGGGGGTTGTTTCATGATCACAGTCGGCCACGATCAATACGTGATGTTGGGGGTTGTTTCATGATCACAGTCGGCCACGATCAATACGTGATGTTGGGGGTTGTTTCATGATCACAGTCGGCCACGATCAATACGTGATGTTGGGGGTTGTTTCATGATCACAGTCGGCCACGACCAATACGTGATGTTGGGGGTTGTTTCATGATCACAGTCGGCCACGATCAATACGTGATGTTGGGGGTTGTTTC